GTGAAACAACGAAACGGCAACACACTCTTAGATTCGGCGTCTATATGTATAATCTATCAAGTAAGAGTGTAGTTAGGTTAATTTATAAAAAAAATTATTAAACAAGATTTTCATATACATATGTGCATTGTACTCGATGAAAAGAAAGATGCAATTTTGTTAATAATGCGTCCAGTCACCATCGGCGTTGATAAATGCCTGGCATCTCCGAGATATGATTTTAACAAAATTGACGGCGTATTCTAGCGGCCAGAACTTATAAATCCGACGAATCTCGTGAGATAATTGTTGTAAAGTGTACGTGCGTTTTCCACGAAGCTGGTACTTCATGTGTGTCCACACATTTTCAATAGGATTAGCATCGGGCGACTGCGACGGCCAATCCAGTGTAACGATGCCAGATTATTTCTTCCATTCGGTACAGAGCTTGCTGCGATATTTGGGATCGTTGTCCTCCTGCAGAATCCAGTCCTCATTTTTGTCGATGTTTGATAGACGGTAACAAAGCCTTTTTGTAAATTCTCACCATTTTCTCGGCATTCAGATTGTAGGTAAACAGGTACAAGTGCCGAACCTCTGCTCTGAGAAGCAGCCCCAAAGATGAACCTTTATTCTGTGTTTAATGGGTCGCTAGACAAGCCTATTGGTAGCGGTTGACCAGGCTCGCGTAAGGATATAACGTGTCCATACAGAGCCTTCGTGGATAAAAATTACATTGCTAAAATCTCGATCAATGTTCTCGCGCGCTCAAGCGAGTCGCTTCACATGTTTTCTAGTCAACAGAGATTTTTTTATTGTGTTGTGCCATTTCATGTTCTGAAGAGACAGGTTCGGATAGTTTCGTGCGTTAAATCTAAACCTTTCTGCTTCAATTTTATTTGTCATTGACGCAGCGTTAAGCTAGGATTCTGTGAAAATATATTCACTATTTGTTTTTCTTTTTTTTTATCCATTTTGCCTATCGAGTCACGTTCCGGTAAATCATCAATATTTTTTGTCACATTATATCGCTGCACCCACTTCTGTACGAATAAATGCTTTCAACTTTTTCATGTATTTAACAGCCGCTAATTGCGACATTTTCGGACTTTTCGGGGGGGGGGGGGGG